TAGTCTATTCTTTCAAGCGATCGTGACTCAATAATCGCGAAAATAATTATATTCTTAATGATAAATGAAAAGGAGATGAGAAAAGGGGTAAAAAATTGTTATACTTCCTCCACGTTGATTAAGTTAGTTTACATATTTATCTTGTAATAGATGAAGAGTAAGGTGCTCGAATCTCACGATGCCCAACAATGATTCACGACTAAAGGTCTCAAGAGAAGACAGAATACGAGATGAAAACGCAAAGAATACAAAAAGAATGGGTAATGAATAGAAAGGGAAAGAAATTTATACGTAAAGAGAAATAAAAGTATTAGTGGAACAAGCAGCCCAACAAAATGACACAGAATTAGGTTCGAAGATAATGGTTTAACGGATGATAAATGTATACCTCGAATAAAACAGAATTCCAGATCCAGGGATGGAAATAAATAGAAATGAGATTCATTAAAAAGTATCTCATCCGATGTAATGTGTAATTAATGAGGTAATGGTTCCCTGTTTGTACACAGGTACAACATAAAATTTATTTTTCTTGGAACTTCGAAATATTTTTGAGTTAGAAGAATAGTTCAGTTGTTATAAGAATATCCCAGAGTGCCTTAGATTTTGAAGACATTTTAATAAACTGCGAGATATCTTAGGAATATATCGAAAGATTAATTAATTTAACGATATTAACTATTTTTTAAATTATATCGTAGTGAGAATTTATTATATGAATAAATTATCGTTAAATTATACGAGTGGGTGCAATATAGGTGGAGTGGACAATGCCTATCAATTAGTCCGGTACTGACTGACTGACACTGTCTACCTCACTCACATTTCGGACTCTCTCCGGTTGAGATCTCGATTTGTTTGATTCAAAGTCGGATTGACAATTGAACTGGAGCTACGACATTGCGATCTTTATTAATCTAATTAATATATATATATATATATATATAACTTTATAATTTAATTAAATTTTATATTAATATAATGTCAATACTCATAATGTATCGACATATTTAAAAATAATTTATATGAATAAATTATAAAATTATTGATATATATATAATTATAATAATTTTATAAATAATTAATAATGGTCTATTCACTGTACTATATCTTAATGGTTACAGCAATATATATCTAGTCTCTAAAGCTCTCTAAAATAACTGGCAAAAATTATGCAAGAAAGAAATCACATCCTTATTGATTTAATAATATTATTTAATTTTTAATATAATAACCAATTACACTGCTCAACATGAATTTTAATTTGTAATATCAATTAAGTAATACCTGTAGAATATACTGTAATGAACGAAAATTATTAATCGAAATTGCTCAATCACCCTCGGTTTTCGAAAATTGTGAATTTTTAAAAATGCAGGATTTCTGGCTAAAATGGAGTATTACGTAAAAAGTAAGAACGTTAGGAGGTTCATTCTCATCTTAAAAGTTAGATAAGAGTATCCCGAATTTAGGTATGTCCATAATTATAATTATTCTTGTTTTTGGATAATTGTAACCGGTCATCAAAATTTAAAAATAAGCCTCCGAGCGTACTTTCGACGCACTGTTCTTGCGTTTTTGTGAAAAATTCTTTATCCGGCACGAATTTTCTATACAGCATCGTATTCTGCAGACTTTTTCGATGAAGAAAGTATGGGACAAAATTGTCGAATCAGGTTTCGTTTCGATTAAATCGAGAAAATATTCGTCGGTAATGCATGTACGGGATTTTACTGCCACGCAACCGTTGCGCGCGCCTCTGGCCTCGACAGTGCCGTAGCTACGCATAATCCCAGTAACAAGCTAACATATAACTGTCCACGAAAGAAAAAAAAAATATATTTACAAACAACTAAACGAGGTAAGTATATATGTATCTCTGTACATATATAATAAAGATATTAATAATAAAGATATTGGTAATGAAGATAAACTGTGAAAATTAATAAAAAATATTGTTTACGTATAATTATTGAATGTTCCTTTATACTGTTGTAAAAGTTGCAAAGAATTGAAAAAAGAAACGTTGTCTAATATGTACAACAAAATATGATTCGTGTTATGAATCCTGTTAATAAATAAACTCAATATACCCCTAATGGAACCCGTTGATACGGCACTGATTCTTTCAATAAGATGGACAAGAATAAAAGTTTAAACGATCAGCGCCATCTATGATTTTGGACCCAAAACTCGGGTTTGGCAATAGGAACACAGAATGTGCGAGGAGGTCGTCCAGAACCACGTGACATGATAGACAATGGCGGAAGATGGTTAGAAAATGATAGAGACACCCCAGCAGTGAAAATTATCATATTACTCAATTTTTATAATTAATTCATGAACTTTTATAGCTGCATCGCAAAGATGAAGCTTTGGGCAACATTCGTATGTATCGTTTGTAAATAATTTTATGCTAATTAGTTTGCTATTAATAACTATTTAATGGCGTACGTGATTTGTTAACAACGACTGGCTTGATTGTCCGAGGAAATAATTAATTACAAACAAAACTAGAGGTAAAATATGAACAAAAGTAATATAGGAATATTGCAAGGGTTATTGTTTATATAACGCGTGTATGAAACTCATAAATTAGTTGCATGAAAGATAATTATTAATGAGAAACCATTGAGATATTCGGCAACATTTTAAACATGCCATGAAATAATTATTAATAATCAATTAATTAAAAAGAAATTAATATCGAAAATTATATGAGAAAGTTCGCCAAGGGTCTGCCTTTACGATGCGATTATAAAAGTTCACAAATTAATCACAGAAATTGAGTAATTTATTAATTCTCTACTGCCGAATTTATTTATTAGGATGTATTAGGAGCACATAACCAGAGTTAGTAATCTCTTCAGTTGAAATCAGCGCCATCTATGATTTTGGACACAAAGCTCGGGTTTTGTGATAGGAACGCAGATATGCGTGGAGGTCGTCGAAAAGTACGTGGCGTGATAGAGGAAGACAAAGGATAATTAGAAAATGGCGGAGACACTCCATACAATTATCCAGAAACATGAATAATTTTAATTATGAACATAACTAAATTCGGAATACTCTTATCTAACTTTTAAGACATGAATGAACCTCCTTACCTGTTACGTAATACTTCATTTTAGCCAGAAATCCTGCGTTTTTAAAAATTTACAATTTTCGAAAACCAAAGGTGATTGAGCAATTTCGATTAAGGATTTCTGTTGATTAAAGTAAATTCTACAAGAATTACTCAATGGATATTATAGATTAGAGAAAAAATTAAAATTAATTGAGTGGTGCTTATTAGGAAATGTTTTATTTTTATCGTAAATTCGTTCTGTGGTTACATATGAATTTCTTATCAATAACATTAATTTATTATTATTAATAAATTGAATAATTTATACATTTTCCTCGAGTTATAATTATATTTATATTTCTATATTACAAGTTTCCATAATACGTCTGTATTAAAATATTTCTATTACCCTCTAAATGTAAGAATACGCGTGTGATAAAGAAAATCAGGTTAATTAGAAATCATTAATTAAAAATATCTACAGTACATATGCACTACAATTAATTATAGTGCTACAAGCTTAACAGCACAGAAACGTAAAATTTACAAATAGAAGAATTCTATTACGCATACGATAGTTTATAATAATTTCTAAATTTTTGCAATGTGATTCTAAACACATGTAACAGTTTCAATCGCTCACAAATATTTTAATTCAAACGATCCGATGTCGGATGAGTTTTGGAAAATAAAACCTGATCGCACTATGGCGAGGAGAGGAATGGAACGAAATCATGTTCGTGTGGCTCGTAATTACAGCGTCACAGGAAAGTTCAAGACTCATTTTACGTCGACGACAAATCTTATCTAGGAGTTTACGGCCGGGTGTAGATCTTCAATCCGGTTCATTAGAGATGTCTTGATATAATGGTAGCACGAAAAGCTTTCGTTGCATTTCATGAATTAATACAGGCTTCTTGAACGTCGGTTAATTTCGAGATGGAAAGAAACAGTAGGAGTTTTTCATTACGATTTCGTGACTAGACAACGCCAGAATTTCCTTCTTTCTTGATTTCTTTACTTTTTCTTCCGATATCCATCGTTAGAAACATTTTCAGATGCAATTTACTCATCCATCGATTGGTTTCCAGTCCACGAAAAGATTTTTAGAAGATTCTCGATAACCTGCAAGATGATTTAATTGTGAAGTCGGCTAAATTTGAAGCTTAATACCGAGTTATCAAGTTAAACTCAGAGAATTTCCAAGTGAAATTTACTGCATAGGTTTTAAGCATGAATTTATGTAAAATTAATGGAGTTATTCGTGATTTGTGGTTGTCAGCTGTCACGGGAATACTGCGGAACTTGGTGATCTAGTATGTTGTGGGAGATTACAGTTTATACGTTCGTTGCAAAGTAAATTTATTTAAATACTAGTATTATTATCATTTATCATCCTCAATTATTATTCATCATGTTTATTGTGGCCATTTATTATCTTCCTGCCATTATTCATTTCTATTTGTTATTAATACCATCTAAATATATGTTTAAAATATTTACAATATATTATTTATTAATGTGAATTATTGATGTTCTAAGATAATCATATAAAATAGCGGCAGATATGAAGAGTAATGGCCAACAGTAAATTTGTATATACATATATATAATAAATTATTATGCTGATCAATTATTAAAATTATTAATTGACAAATGTCAAGATTATTGTGGACTATACAACAAACGAATGAAGTAGTGACCCAGTGATAAATTTCACTTATCCTTACAAAACAGTATAAACAAATTAATGAACGAAAATAACAGAGAATTATAAAATATTGTGAATACTGATATATACTCGCACACGAAAAAACAGGATAAAAAAATATGTAATTCAAATCGCATATGTAATCAGTTAACGAGAATTCCTAATTACTTGCTACAACGTATCATACCTAACTCAAACCCATGAGCACGAAGTACAGCCCCGTTGTGTCATTTATATCACTTATAACTCTCCCTCGGAACGTGTCATCCCTATCTTCATGCTCATCTTTCTAGAAATTCTCGCGACTTGCTAATGTTATTCTCCTCTGAAATTTTACGTATTCGTGGTATTATTCGCAAACCAGTTTCCTGGAGTTATCATCTCAGTAAATTTATCATTTCCCAAAAATTACATGGTTAATTCCTCGAAACGGCAAACTTTGCAAATATAAACGCATAGAACACGGCCTGAAAAGGAAGGAAAGGCGGATGGCAACAGAACGTTGGATTGTATCGATTCTGAATGGAATTTATAGTTACCTTGATAACATTTACGTATGGGTTTCAAATACAGAATTTCTCGCGGAATCGGTTCACTTGCTTTAAATGTCGTTCAGTATATATGTCATAACTTCTTATCCACTGGAAGTATCATTTCTCTGATTTCATGCTTTGCGTCTTACGTCTTCCTCTCCTTCTCGTGGATGATAGATGTTCAGGGTGTTCCTATGCATAATTTATAACGAATAAAATATTTTTTTTTGCATGAGCCGTAATGTATATGTATACGAGTGGATGATACTTTTCCAATTCGTTGAAAATTTCACTCTCTTCAGGAGCCTCTTCGTAAATAATTCTTGCTCTCCCTTAGTCATCTCCTGATCCATTTATCTGAAGCAACTTGCAGGCATATTGAATCATCAATCGTCCCAGGCACCTTCGTTCGACAGAGAACGGGATACACTGTTGGTCAAAAGTCAAAAATTATTCGATATTTTATTAAGGGAACGGAATTTTTTAAATTAGTGGTTTTGAAGTTCGTATTGTACCTGATATCCTGTATTCGCCATTGGTTTATACGTGATGTATTAATCCTGAAATTATTTCATAGTTTAGTTATTTAATGGAATTTGAAATAGCAAAAATCTATCAAAGTAATGATTAAATGTGAGCAATTAAATAATTTCCTCTTAAACTTAACAATTTTGTTCGTGGGAAACTTACTTCTGAATGTATAAATAATTCCAGCAGAAAATTCTATATTGCTACGAGCAGCAAAACTTTTTGTCGATACTGTACCGTCCCCTATACCTGAGGCACACAAAGAAGCTCTACACAGAAATAGAATAGGACGAAGTATAAAACAAAAGACGATTTTAAACTGGGGAAGGCGAAACGTTGCAAAAAGCGGTAATAATTCTCCCATAAATTTTCTCTCTGAATTGCCTGGGTATTAAGAGCTAGGTCAAATGCAAAAATCATTCTACAACTGAAAGAAATGAAATCAGCAACCTAAACGATCCATCCTAACCTCAAAATATACCAACTCGAACGAAAATGTCATCAATTTTTTTTCCAACTTCACTAATTCCTTTAATAAAAATCTAATTCACAAAAAGCACAAGGAACATTTCAACCAGCTTTTTCCCGAGCTTATTTGCATGAAACGAAGCTAATTGCGGAATAACTTCGACTATGAACACGCTTTTCTACCTTTTACTGTATAAAAATTAGTTTGCAGGTTACTCGATTTGCTCCCAAGTTTTAATATTTCTCAGTACGAACTCGCTGCAAGAATTACCGACAGACATAAAGAAATAACGTGCCGCGGCCTCTTACGATTTCCTTGCGAACTAACTAATGGGGAGGGATAACATCACCGTAGCCGTGTTAATCGGTAAACTAGAGCCATGGTACATTGTTGAATAGTAACATTTGTATAATATTATCGTAGCACATGTATCGGGATAGCCGTGTACTAATTTGGGAATTGGTAGAGGAAGTAAATGGGAATGCCTACAATGGGAGTCGTATGAACCATGAAGCTCAAACTAACTTTCAAGTTATGTAGTAATGAATAACCCCATCTTTATGTCGGTCACACAAAATCTGAACTATCGTAATATCGTGAAATTCGCTTACCATTTGTTGAACGTGTAAGAAACTATTGGGTGTGTGTATTAATAAAAATCAGAGAACTAGAAAAATAGGTTGGAATTGCATACAAATGTAAATATTCTATCTCCTTACTATACCGTTTTCCAAGTTAATCTAAAATTACTCTAATTTAATTTGACTTATGTTAAAATTTTCAGCAACACAATTTTTATCTTTATTCTTTTAACCAACCGCAGTAAAAGACGTTCGCCATCTTTAATTCAGTCGGTTATCTGACTTGTTTTAACGAGGCAGCTAAATCATCTTTAAACGACTAGTTCCCCCTTAAATGGATAGAGGTCATGAATGGTCTGTGTTGCTTGACCTGCTCGCCAAACTCGCGGCGCCATTTAAAATCGCTTGTTTATAACGACCACTTCCGGTTTTAATGGACAAACTTTCGGAGCTGAATAACTCGAGTAGAGAAAAATGGCACGAGTGAACGGAATCTTGTCCTATGACATCGATGCTTATGTTTACTCACTTCTTTCGAAAAACATTGTTGTTAACATTACAACAAACGAATTTACTTGAATTGTTTACAACGATCTTTTGTCAAAAATCAATAAAAAGTTCCTTAATATATTTTCATTAATGAATGTACGAATAATACGAAGGCTATTACAACTAGCCTTACGAAGTCACTGGAATATACAGAAAAGATGTATAAACGAATCAATATGCCCGATTATTAACGCATAACTACATAACCTTTAAATTCACATCGAACTTCGAATCATTGCTTTAAACTCTCGTGAAAGTCTGTAATCAAATTTCAAAGTCAAGTAACTTACCCCATTTACATTCTAAGCCTTCTAACTTCCTTTTATCATTCAAATGAAATTCCAAACTAGATTTCACAGTCGGGCCACTTTTTCACTGCATAACCTCGTCACGTGTGTTCATTTTGTTTTTCCGGAAATTTACAAGCCAATCATTGAATTTCAAGACAAAGCACGTGTATCCTTGTAAATTTATGAGTGAAACGGGACATTCGTAAAAAAAGTCCAGCCGAGGACATTTCGTGAATTTTCATGAAAGACACGGTTCGTTTCCATCAAGATTTATATACGATATATCGGAATGGGGGTCAGCCAGCACGTTCGCCATATTTGAACTGGTACGTTACGAGTTAAGCGAGAATCTCGTTTTATGTTGGTCTTGTTTTCCAAAGGCCGTGGTCGCATCGTTCGTTATCGAAATGCGTAAATTCACCAAACGTACATACAAAATATTCAACAAGCCCACTCGAAACCAATAGAATTACCGGAAACCTCCCTTTTGTAACGCTAATTTGTTTCGATAAATTGATAATAAGTTCTGTCCTATTGGTGCACATTCGAGCAATTGTGCAGACACAAAATTCGTGATTGGAAATTTATATTCCTACCCCGAAATATATTTTGCACCTGCCAAAGTGTTCGTATTTATTAAATTTATACCTAATAATCACCACCTTTATGTCACGTCTTTGGTAAATAGCTAAAATAATTTTCTTTGTTAATTTACAATATTATTTAAGACGGTATTCTAGTCTATAGGTCAATTTTTTAGGTGCTGTTTGGGATTTTTATTTAAGAACCATAAAGACATTATTGTGACAAAATTTATGGCATGATTTTGACCTATACTTAAGGAGTATACACTATTTTTCTCATGAAAAAATATTGGAAATTGTCGGAGATACAGTTAGTTTAGTAGTGTCTCCTCAATTAAACTTGCCTGCACGGTTGTCACGATTGCAGCTGTTCTTCAAATATCCATTCTGTTCAGTATGAACGTGACTCTCGTCGGTACCAAAACTATATATAAACATTGAAGAGAAAATTTTTGGCAGCACTTTAAAGTTAGATTATCGACTTTTTGTGCTTTTTTCAACTTTAGCGTGCCAAAAAAAAAAAAAGATAGTTAAAGATATAAGATTTCTAAATTTTAGTACGGACGATAGAGATACATGTGCAGAAAATACCCTCTAAATTTGGTCGTAATCGGTCCACTAGAACTTGAAATATCATGGCAACCATTTGGAAAAATATGGTTTCGAGAAAGACGCATTTAAAGTATTTCATAAGAATATGTCACATACTATGGACAAACGCTAATAACTTCATTAATTTTTCAAATCCAGCAATATCCAATGGTTGAAATATTTTCAAAGATATATATTTTCACAAAATGAAATAAAAAAGAAAATTGATTTTTTGAAAGTTCTATACTGGAATACCCGCATAACGAAAAGGTAACAAATTTTTGCAATCATTTTCTAAATTCGAAAGGGAACACTGATGATACGATAGAGAAAGTATCTTCAAAATACACGAGACTGTTGTTGAATATAACTTTCAGTAACAAATGTTAAAGATGTACTCTTAAATCTTAAATGTCATTATATTGTTTCCTTCTTTTTTCCAGATTTTTGTGCATTAATCATAAAAAGAGACATATCTACTGTAAAGTAAAATAAGCTAAATAAATATTTACGCAACTATATCATCCGTATAAGTGAACAAAAGGTAGCAATAAACGTACCAATAAACATTTCGATATACCATCATAAATCGCGACCAAAACGTTCATATGATCGTCGCGGGAACTTTATGCTAATGAGACCGCCGGCTTGTTAACAATTCCATTTAAATTCCAGGGACGACCGTGTGTGTGTACGATGAGGGGTGAGACTACGGTTTCATTAAAACGCCTCGAATTCGACGCAGTGGACCTTTAATTTTATTTTTGCATTGCCGCGATGTGCTAGAAAGAGAAGAAGGGAAAATAAATACCCGCAAAGGGAGGAACGAAAACAAACAAGAAGCTGAACGAAACGTAATCGTTCGTTTCCGTCGTCCAAAATGCAATTCCACCGCTCCTTAATACACATATATACGCAAGTATATACATCTCTTTTTTCACTTTCTTCCTCGTTTTTCCCTTCCACGAATATTTACCGTGGCTCCCTGGCCGAGTTTCGCGCTCTCCGCCCCGCCCTCCGGCTTTTCTTCTTTTTTTCCTTGAGAAAAACTGGAGATTCCATTAACCATGGATAAACGAATTCCGGAAAATTCGGTTCCTCGACGAAATAAATTCATTCGTTGGAGAAACTGGAAAAAAGAACGGGATGGAAATAGGTGGAGAAGAAGGAGAGCAGAAGAGGGAAGAAGCACAGTCATTCCCACTCTGCCTGGCTTTTCGTCTAACGAAATCTATCGACAAAAATTCATTCGACTTACGATATCTTCGTGTTCCATATTTTTTCCTTTCTCACTCATCTCTTTTTTTGTCTCTGTCCGATATAGGTGATCAACTACGACAGTCCTAGGGGCGGCGTATCGGTGATCACCGAGAAAGGAGAAGTTACAACGTCGTATCTTCTGGTGCAGCGTGCCCAGCCTGCAGATAGCGGCCAGTATACCTGCCATCCGAGTAACGCTAATGCAAAGACTGTCCTCGTACAGATACTTAATGGTATGTACATACATTTGCGAAAACCTTGGAAGTTTTGCGGTTTGGTATTCCTCTTTGACGTCGTAGTTGCTTGGTTTCCTCTACTTCCGGTTTTGCGGTAGCTGAAGAGAGGTTTTGACGTTGAATTTGCGATCCTGCGGATTTTTTTTAACTGAAATGAGGAAATAACTGGAACAGTATTCGATACGAAATACAATTGAAAAGTGAAAAGAGAAGAAAATGTATGATCAATTGTTTAACTTGTTGATTTTAAATTTCTCTTGACAATTATTATATTTATATATATATATACTCACAAAAAATTTAAAAGTTGTACTATTTCGATTTTTTGTTTTATTGATTTAATAGAAGAAGTAGTGAATGGCTTGATGTTTAATGGCAATCAGTTAAATTAATTATAATTACCCACGTTCTGCGAGGAGAGGCTTTCGAAGTTTAAGTTGTTGCTCATTTGTCCTCATGAATGTGGATTTCAGGTCTTTCAGAGTACACGATGAATGAGACATTTTATATATTTATACGGAACAATCGGTAAATTACGTTTTGTGAAACCTGAAAATTATTGGAATAACTAGAACCAATGAAATTCGTGTTTTAATTGCATAACGTATTGAAACTTTCGAAAACATAAAGCTTTCAGAGTAAATGGTCTTCTAAAAATTGAAATTGAAAATGATCCAGTTATCAAACATCAGAAGTTCATTATAAATTACCATTTAATGTATATAATAAGCTAAAACGTTTAAAAAATATACATATATATTTATTAGGAAAACCACGAAGGCTTTTAAATATTCTTCCCTGATCGATATTAAATTAAATTAATATGAGATAAAAAATTATTCAGATTTCCTAACTGAGATTTCTATTGTTCTTCAGATTTCAAACAATTCACACGATATAACTTTTATACAACCTATTCTAATTTATTATTTACTTACTATCAGTTATAATAGCCTATTGACTAGCAGATTAATTATAAATAATTCTTAATTATTTATTTAGCATATTAAATGATAGTTGATTTGAATACCAAGATACTGTGGAGTACTTGCTAGCAACCACATATTATTTCAAATTAAATGTCAATTATTCCAAGTTTATTTGGTCTCTTAATTGAATCATCTGGACTGAGAAGATTAAGTCAAAAAATTGGAAATTGGCGTTATTTCAACTCTATTGTTGCACTAAAATTGGATAGCGCGCTTCAAGTATGAATTTCTTAAGATGAGATGAAATTAATTTACGTCACTTGTCATTTTCGATGACTCGATCATTTTGAGCCGCACTAGGAGAATAACTGTAGGCAGAAGGGGAGAAGCACTTTTTAAATTGTCGTTGGAAAATCATAGTCTCCGCCGTCTTTCCCTTTTTTTCTTCTTTCAAACAGAGAAGGAAGGAGCGAAACAAGTATAAAAATGAGCTACACACCCGGACAATGCAATTTTGCCTCTGAAGACTTTCCTCCTATACCTATAAAAACAACAGAGTTATTTACATGCTTCCACTTTATATAATATAATGTAACGTCGAGGAGATGCGTCTAACTTTATCGTTTAAAGTCTTATCCCTTTTCTTTCTTTTTCTTTTTGTTAAACTACTATTATCGTGATACGGGTATTCCTTGAAAACAGACGTAAGCCGTGTTCTGCGTGTTCTTTAAAGTATATACATATTTGTTTCATTATTTTGTAAACCATTTTTTACACGTATTTTCAGCTATCCATTTAGGGGAATTTATTATTCATTATTAGTTTTATACCTTTCATTAACCCATCCACGTGTATATAAATTAATTCAGGATTAACGAAATCTCCTCCGTGTTCATACTTTTTGGTTAAGTCAAGTGAAATTTCACATACCGATTATGTAATATGCAACGCCACCCTACGGCGAAAAGGATACCGACATGAATCAATCTACCCGTTTCAAGATTTTATCTAAATCGTCCGATAGATGGCAGACCTTTCATGTATGTGACCGCACGAATATACATGATACAGTTTTACATGGTAATTGATAAACTGGTAAACGCGCTTTGTGTTCGATTCCTCAATTTTTCGTTCAAATTACGATCTACAGAGTTACCTATTCACGATATTCGAAGATTTTATTTTCAGTAATGACAGGTGTTTATCAATATGCATATCATATTTTCAAATAATCGAGATCTAATTACCAATCATGTTCGTTAACAGTGGCGATGGAACGAACGAAAGGAAGAAAGTTCGCTAAAGCAAAGAACGAGTGAAAGAGAGATTTTATGAGTTTCCATTAACTAGCACGTTAATGAATTCTCATTAAAAACTACTCTGTTGTCGTAATCGAATTTGTGCTACAAAACTCTGGACCCTTCCTCCATCCTTTGACAGAGAACAAGAAAAAAGACGACGCGGAAGAGAAAAGGATGGAAGAAGAGAAAGAAATGATGCAGTATTTCATAACATGCTATAGCGTAGGCAGGTTTATCCTTTCTTGCCGGGCTTTGGCCACGTTTACAAAACGAGTGGATCCGATTGTTCTCGTTGGAAGATAACGTTCTTAGGAAAAAGCATTCGGTCGAGTGAGAAGAGTAATTAAAGAGATTTCTCAGAGTGCACAGAGCATTGAGCTGAGTTCAGCTATTGTTGCAGGCACTCCCGTCTCTGCAAAACCATACTGTCAGAGAGATAGCCTTCAGAAAGTGAAATTCCGGATTAGGGAGTCAGGCGGGATATGTCTGACAGGGAAAGATAAATGTCTATCGGCTACCGGCCCGTTAGTTTATTATAAAGTCGATATACAGCCTCTTGTCTATAGTTTTTGACAAAGATTTTGGTCATTCAAGGCTGTTCTTACGACCCAGAAATCATATTAGTAATAATCAACCACCTCTTACTTTTTATAATCTTGTCACGTAAATGTCGCGTTCATCATAAATGACTCTTCTTATAGACCGATTTCTAACCTAATCTCCGGAGTTTCGAAGGTTTCTTTCGGAAGAAAATCCATTTACAAATGACACCTTATAAATTTTTCTGGTATTTAAATTTATTTTATATTGTAATGAACTTTCCTTATTTTATTCGTCTTTTATTTTCACTTAAATGTTATTTCCGTATAATTTCTAACAATTTAATTATATTTCAGTTTTCTTACTGGCTTACTTTCCTATTTCTTACTTTTTTATTTCTATACATCAAGATTTTTCTTGACCTAACAAAGCAACAAAATAAAGGCAAAAGATACAATTATGGGAATAGGGAAATACCGCAGTGGGGGCAAGTGAACTCTGCCGCAAACTGTAGTAGCTATTGTTTCACATTAATGCATCCCACACTCAGAGAAATCAGAGAAACACTCGACGTTAGAGTTGCACAATACGTAAGAGGCTATCGTATGGTGACGAGAATTTCTACCTAGACAGAGAGGTGCTTTCAAGGTATGAAGATCACTTCCCTTTGAAAGGGATGATATGCTTTTTTCTTAAAGGTGTGGTTAGAAGACTCTTCAGCCAAGCACAAGGACCCATGAGTGTGTGAGGGGGCTATTGAAGGCTGTTTTAAATTCCGGCAACGATGTACATACTGATGACGGGAATTAGCCGTATGCAGGGTGTTAGAAAGAAAAAACCTGAAGTTTTTCTTTCAAAGGATACTTTATTTTTTTTCTTTTCTTTTCGTTGGTCTTGTGAATATTTGGGAGTAAATTACAATCTTTCATGCCTTACGGCTAACGTGTAATCGCTGTGAAAATATCCATTTTAAAATAAGCATTTTTAGTTAACGTTCTTTAAGATGATTTTTCTTTATATTTAGAATTTCAGAATAATTTTTTTATAATTTCAGAGTAGTAGTTTTGATTTAAAAAATCGAGGTTCTCACGTATAAATCTCTATCTCATTTATTCAAGAATCACACAATTGGATATTCATCTTGGCCACCGTATTTATGAGAAAATGTAAAGTACAAAGAGAAGTATAAAATCATAAATAGCTGAATTGAGGAAATTTCGTAAATGCATAAAAAAGTATAAGATATACAATATTTCGAGTGTACAGTATTATCTACCATCATAAATAGCTTAAGATTTTAATGCAAATCAGGTACTGGAGTATCTCATGCTGGATCCACACTGATTAATACTATTCGCGAACAGAAGCAGTATGGCGTCCACACTAGAACTCGCAAATAGCTCACGAGCAGGACGCAAGCAATTTAAAACATTATACTCGCAAACAGGCCCTTTGATATACCGCCTCCTGAATGAACAGTGTTCGTCGACGAGTACACTATACACTGCTTGCTGATCGCAAAAATATTCACGCTATCGACAAATAGAACTACTCGTGAATTATGAATGCAGCATTATCTTATCTAATTCTTGAATATTCATAATTTCAAGTATCTTGAATCCAATGTTACACTATTTCTTTCTGCTTCTATGAAAATTGAACCTAAAACCAAGAACCATCAAATACTTTTACTATTTCTAAAGTTAAGGAAATTGTTCCATTTGCAAAAGAAAAATGCATGCAATATAAATTTAGATTTTTTTTTAATTTTCAAGCGAAAAACAGAAAATGAGTAAAAATAAAAATATATAAATTTTAATTAAAAAGGAATCTTTACTATATGTACAATACAAATGTACTGTTGTTGCTAATGCACTCGCATACAGGAAGGGAGGTGCAGTGGAGAAACAATTTTGATAAGACGATGGCCACTAGGAATTCAATTTGAATTTTAATCATTGTTCAACAGGGGAACATCCTGCGGCGATGCAACACGGAGGCCAACTAAGGCTAGCAAATCTGCCATTTGTAATGATTTCGACTACTCTGCTGGCCTTTCTAAATCATCGTTATTGAAGCAGGCCTCGTCGTTGGATCATGAAATACTCATTTCGGATATTCATCGGTAAATATCTCTCTAACGACTTGTCGTGAATACATTTAAAGAAGAAACTCTCATGGTGTTACACGTAAAATTTTCATAAAATTATGTTTGAATAAATATATTGTTTTGTAGATATTATGATAAAATTCGGAACTATCATCAAATTACACTGTTCAAAACGAATTTTAATTTGTAATATCTATTGGGTAATACTTGTATAGTTTACTTTCCTGAAAACGAATCTGTAATCGAAATTGCTTTGTCATAGTTTTCGAAAATTGTGAGTTTTTCTAAAAACGCACGATTTTTTGCTAAAATGAAGTATTACAAAAACAGTAAAAACATCTGAAGATTCATTCTTATCTTAAAAGCTAAGTGGGAGTTTATTTCTTTGCAACTTGATATTAAAAAGTTATTCGTATTTATGTATCGAATAACGGAACTGTTTCACATTACAAGTACTTCAGTACATGAAAACATATACATGTAATACATATAAAAAATGAGATTTATTGGATGGTGTCGATTACGCACGATTACGATACTAATAGTACGTACTTCAAATAAAGCTCCAACCTCATCTATAATAATGCGGGACTTCCTTAACCCGGACAGGGTTGGTTTAACGAAATCTCTTTAAAACTTTGTAACGTTAAATATTCTCTAAACCATTAACCTGTTAACTTCATAAATCATCCATATTTAAAGCACCATTAAGAGCAAGCGAGAGTTCATTAAAAAGTGAGATTTACACTTTAAGACTTCTTATAAGGATCCTTCGTGTACTTTTAAAGTTAATATAAACGTTTAAAAAATTCAGTTTATAAAATTGTATTTTTAATTTCATAGACAAAGCGAAATTTCACGTACTGATTGTATAATTTATGGTTTCAGACTATATTAATACGTCACTGGTAGCCGCATTTCGGAAATCAACTAAACTCACTTAAGAAATGGCTGTTACGAAGAGGAAGTGACAACCATCTTGAAAGTATATGAACCACGTTTCAAAATACCAGTGAAAAATGGAATGATAAAATGATTTTATTGGATCAAGAATGCAAAGAAACAAATCTGTGAAAAAAGAAAAGAAAAAGGTGAAGGTGGAATCGGACCATATTGCGGCACAATGGATACTGAATGTATTATAAGAAAAGTAGTCTGTTGTAACAAAATAAGATAAGAATTGATATATAAGGTGTCCTGGAATTAAACGATCAAATATACTTATTTTACTCTTTATGAATGAAAATAAAGGAAAATTTTGTCATATAAAGTATAAAAAAGAGATTTTAAATGAAAGATAATTTACTAAATAAAAGTCAAAATTTAAGAATTCTTGAAGCATTATATTTATCTGTGAAATTTTGTACCAACAAATATCGATTTCAGATATGCTTTTCTAAACGCTAGTTTTATCTATGGTTAAAAACACAAGTAAAAATTAATTTTTTTTTTCACCTTGATTTTAGAAAATAATACATATTAATCGTTTAACTTTGGAACATCATATATTAAAGAAAAATATACGAAAAAAAAGAATAAAAATAAAATGTCGATGGTAATGGTAGTTCGCAGAGGACGAATCGTTTAATCCTGAACAGAATTGATTTAATTTGCTGTGTTACAATTATGAGACAATACATTATACTTGCCAAAGGAAATATACGAATTACTGTTAAAATGTGATTAAGATTTTTATCGTTCCGTTATGAACGATACATTTACTGTACATGGTATGTAGGCTATGTTACACTTTTAAAAGAAGAAAGAGAAATCACCAAGAAAAATTTATTTAATTTTAAAGATAACGAAAAAAGCAAAAATGTGAAATTCCGTCTTCGATCGTATAAATTAAGAATTATGGTATACAAAATAAATCTGAATTATCTTCGAATTTCATACATTCGAGTGAAAATAAAAAAGCACTCGATATTAAAAAATACAATGATAACAGAGAAGAAGTATTTTTTATTTAAAACAGAAAACACAGCAAGCTTTTAGGGGCAGGAGGGATCCATAAATATTTAAATGGGCAAATGGTTTTCCAATTGAGGTTAAAACAGATAGACTATGTTCATATTAGAATCACTGTAAAGGGAGACATGATTAACTCAAATCGTAATAAGATAGGAAATTATCACTGTTGGGTACCGAATTCGATCGATACATCAATCGGTTATTAAAAATTAATACGCCAAAATTTAGTAGATGGCTTTAACTTAAATTAATTTTTTGGAAATAACAAATGATATCAATTATAGAAAATTTGCAAAGAAAGTGAACAGAATTTCTAATAAGAATATAGTCCAAATTTAAGTGATTTAATTGAAATTATATTAGCGATATCGCAATATAGATAACGTTAAACCTAAAACGTAAAGCTAAAATGCTAACCGACTAGAAAAAACAGGTACCATTAATCTAATAATTCGTATACTTACTCAGTTTTAAGTTTTACGTTATCTGTTCTGCAAATACTTTCGATAAATGGCATAACATACAATCCATATTTTTTGGGCATCCGAGCTCAGGGTATATTTCCACACCGTTTGCGGTGCTGTAGAAAATTGCAATTTATAACGTGTTCATCGTATATTAACGCATTTTGTCGTTGGTGTACACATATTCATACAAACACAAAACATCAAAATAATAAATGAAGGCAAGAGATCAGTTATTAGAATCGTAAGTTTATCTTCGTTAAATTACAAAAGACGAGTTATAGTTACAAAACTCTGCTATGAATAACCACTTTTCATCTATCGTTAAGTGAATTACAAAGTCAAAGTTAGAAGCGGCAATATTGAGAAAAGGAAAAGTAATTGGACGCGTGGATCCTAAATTAAAATCGTTCTAATTGGACCAGAAAAATGACTGTTACATTTTATTTAGTTATAAGTTTTCGATAAGCGTCGGTTACGTATGTACGTTGTTAAAATCAGGTTTCTCTTCGTAACCATCATGTGTGAATATTTGAATGAATGTGAAAGAGATTATGAAATTCTATGACATGAATGATGGAATAAATGAAAAAAAAAAAGAAAAAAATACTTCAGTAATCAAATAAAGGAAAATTGATTCTATAATGGTTACACATGTTCAAAGATTAATTGCAAAAGTAGTTTAAGCGTGTTATACACCAAAATCTGTTATAGTTGTAAATGGTTTCTGTTGAACCGCAATATATGATGATTCGTTTATGTACTTATCTTCCTTGATATCTCTCTGACTAACTTTACCATGTTGAAATAAAAGATTGTCAATCCCTAAATAGGACAAATAATTTATAATATTAATAATAAAATTTTATGACATGTAATGTATATTTCCATCCCAATTATTTGATTTTAATTTTTCAATTAAAATTATACAGTTTTTAATGGATCAGTATCGCATTTGGATACATGCACTAATACAGCTTCGTTTAACATATTGGTTAACATAAACGAAAATATTTTTAAGAAGCCACGTTCAGAATCAGAATGATTTGTTAAAATCACGTTAGTTCCATGATGTATTGCATCAAGAACTTCATGATGTAACATTTCTCCTGTAAGATATAAATCGGCGGATACATCTTTCAAAACACTTGCCCCAGATCCAGCACAAAGTGCAACAGTTTCAATAAATCCATCTAAAAGTTGAAGTAAAATTACAATATTTTAAATTTATTAATACATTAAAAAATTTTTTAAAATTTACTACCTGTTTGATAAGCACGAGCTAATCTAACATGTTTTAAATTAGTATGTTCTTTCACGCGTTGCACAGCTTCTTCGATAGAAATTTTATTTTTTAAGGTACATATTCGTCCAAAGCCATAATCACTATTACTCTCATTTGCTCGTATAGGTATACTACTTTTGAGTACTTATATATACAAAAATTAATATATTATTAAAAAATATTAATTATAAAATAATTATAAAATTTTTAAAAATTAATCTTGTTGACATTTACCATCTTGAAATGATGACACCAACCAATCATTTACACCGCCTTTTACAGAATCGAATGTAGTATGTGGAGAATATACAGCTATTTTATTTTCTAAACATTTTGCAACGATTTTCTCCTAAAAAGACTTATTTAAATAATAATTTATATAACAGATAAATTTAATAAAAAAAAAGCACATGCAACTTGTCTTCTGTTACCTTCCAAGAACGAGTTGTTATAGATTTCACAGGTGCAAATATTAAGGGATGATAGGTAATGATCATATCTGTTTTTAAGTCTAAAGCTTCTTGCATCACATTTTCAGTTAAATCATTTGTTAACAAAATATGTGAAATCAATTTTTTTTCTGTAGGTTCAACAAGTAATCCTACATTATCCCAGGAATCTGCAAGTGACAGAGCAGCAAAGTCTTGCAGTGTATCTACAACTTGACTTAAAGGAATTCCAGTAGTATTGGGTTTTATGTCACTCATTGTACAAAATGTATTGTTATGTTTAACTATAATATTGGAAATTAAGATTTTATGGCTTCGTATCAATCCAGTAAAATGCCTAAACATTTATGACAATCTAAAACAAGAAAATGAAACAAATTGGGATTAGTATAAAACAGTATATAAATATTTATATAGTAATAGCAAAAGAAGACTATTAAAATATGAAAGGAATAATAACATATATTAATTATATATCATTATTTATTAAAAAGTACAATTACACAAAGCAACAGTTATTCATTATAAAACCAAATTTTCACTAAACCATCATCACTAGCTGACGCAAGTTGTCCAGGAACAGTAGGATTCCATTGTACAGAATTTATGTCTTGAGTATGAGCAGTGTCCATAGAACAGACCATTGTAAAAGTTGGTTGATGAGGATCAGAATCACTATCTTCTTTAAATATTCTAATAATATCATCACTACAAGCAGTCACTAACAAATCAGTTGTTTTGCACCAATCAATATCATAAATTGTTCTTGTATGATAGCCAGTCAATGTACACACACACTTCCAAACTGTTTCATTGTTTGCAGTAATGATTCCTGGTTCATTACCAGGCTTATATTCTTGCCATATTTTTACTGTTTGATCATCACTACAAGTGGCAATTCGTTTACCCTGTTTGTCCCATGCAAGACTCCAAACTGTTGATGTATGGGATAATAATGTTGCCACACATGACCAATCATTATCCACTGTATTCTCTTTAAATATTTTTACTGTATTGTCATAACTAGCAGATGCTACAACTTCTTCATTAGGATGCCACCTTACCTATAATAGTTCAAACACATATTTAAAACTATTATTAATAATAGTAATAATAATAATATTAATAATAATGAGAATAATAATATCATTACAGCTATATATAATACATAATATCCACTTACCTTTTTCACATCTTGAGTATGAGCATTAATAACAGCAGCACATTCATATTCATCGTCATTTACCTCCCATATCCAAACAGATTTATCACGACTACAAGTAGCTAACAACTGTCCACTACTAGACCAACTAACACTTTTCACTTCATTTTCATGTCCTTCTAATGTTGCATTACATTCAAATTGACCAGACTTTTTATCCCATATAGCAGTGGTTGCATCAAAACTAGCAGAAGCTATATAATTTCCACAAGGAGACCATGCCACTTCTCTAATAGTTCTAGTATGACCCTCGGTAAGGATAGTTTTTACAACCCATTTTGGATCTTGTGGTCCCCATATTATAATTGTTTTATCTTCACCACAAGATGCGAGATAATTACCCTTTGGATGCCAGCAAACATTCCACACCCTTCCCCTATGACCACTTAAAGTTTGTTTTAATTCCAATGTTCCCATTTCTACCTGCAACAATAAACGCTTGCTTTTCAAGCTTAGTTCAATTAAACTTATATATTTGTAAAATTTATTACACACGTTAATGGAAAAATTTAAGTGGGAAATGTTTGTGCATCATATTTAATGTCAAAGATATCGCGATAAATTTTTGGATTTGTTAGAAATATTAATGGTATAGAGATTAAAGTAAAAAAATTACTTAAATTTTTAAAATATACCTTTCAGGTAAAAATTTAAAATTTATACGAAAACAAAAATTACTTTGAGAAATTACGAAAATAATACAAAAAAATATGATACAAAATACTTACGATATACGTTTTGGCGAATAGTTCTGAAATTTTACGATATAAAAGAAAAGATTATCAACAAATTTTATCGTTTATATGAATTTTTCATGCAATTATAATATAAGATATGCACACAATGATGGAAATAAGAGTCCGTGAATGTCACGTGCGCCATGTAACCATGAACTATTAACCAATAAGACGATAAATTTCTTAAAATATCACAAATGTATATTTAAAATAAATTATTTGCAAAAATGCGCATAATTTAAAAATTTTAATATTCTTCATGTAATGTTGTCCGTCACTAAAAAGTTGAATTAATAAGTCGTGTAATAATTACTGTCATTTACAAGATAAATGCTTCAATGCTTAAGAGGTATAAAATTCTAATTTACATCCAACTTATACCTTTAATACTAACACTATGGAGAACAAATTATATTTAATTAATAATAACTATTATTTTATATTAAATAAGTTTATAATTTAAATTTATTACATTTTTTATTTCTTTTTTCTTTATAAACATAAAATATTTAAATTACAATTAATTTATAACTACCTAACAATAAGTACAATAATTATCAATCTGAGGCTGTATTGTATGATGTAGATACTGATAATGTATCTGTATCTGTTAAAGTTACCATTCTGGTACAAGAATCTGGAGTCCTAGAAAGTTAATAATAAAAGGACACTGATCAGAAACTATATTTCCTTAAATAGATTTTTGTAGTTGAAAACTTAACTACTTACACATCCTTTAAGAGATGCAGCACATGTTTATGTTCAATACCTTCAAGCCATAAGTTTAACAGTTCTTCTCGTTTACACCTCAATAATTGCTTACATGCATTTAAATTTTCCTTAACTGCATGAATTTTTTCCCGGGATGCAGTTACTTTCTCTGATAAAGCACTGAATATCTGGTATAAATATGTGAATATTAATTAAGAAAATTAATATAAATTAATTTATATTAAGAAAATTAATATTAATTAAGACAATCAATATTTTAAATTATATAATAGGTGATATTTACTTGCATAACTTGTGTAAGATCCTGATCATGCAATGATACTAATTCATCAAGCCTTTGATCACTCTTTTTATATTCTTTCTCAAGTTTAGCCTTTTCTATTTCTCGTTGTTCATTAGTTTCACTGGCTGATAAAGCCCGAATCACAGAAATCAATAAACCACTCTATAAAATACATCATTAAAAATGAAATAACTAATTAATAAATAATTTTAAGTTACCGTATTAAAGTGATAAAGTAAACAAATGAAAAATTTTATAAACGTACTGTTTCTTTAGTTGGTTTAATGCCCCTTGGCGGTTTAGTGGGAGGCATCGAATTCATATTTTTATTATTTTTATCAGCAAAATGAAATATATCAAATGTTTTAATTAAATTTGTTTTGTAAACTTTTCTCATACGTTTAGTATTGAACTCAAATGTTATATAGGTTATAATACCATAAACGACGTTTTAGTACGTTTTTAAGTATAACGTTTTAAAATCCATTTTTTCAAATTGTTTATCGAAGTTGATTATGAAATTGTTAAATAATTATTATTTATATTATTCAGGCCAATTGTATATTTTACTGTCCAATGCGCATTAAAATTCTGAGTGACATTAGGTCACATGACGACTAAGAAACGCAATATACACATTTTAGGATTATATTTTGTAACAGTCGAAATATTGATAAAGCAATTTATTTTAATAACCATAACAGTTCTCTTTATTCATATACAACTTGATTTCTAACTTAAGATATATATGTATATATGTTTTATATTAACTATATAATTTTTTTGTGATATTGCTATATTTTCAAAGTTTACAAAATGTTAGTGTAAAATTAGGAAACAAATACATAAGATTGTGAATTTCTAATTTTAATGATAATTTTTTGTAAACATTCTTATTTAATATTTTATATAAATTTCGAGTAAAAATAAAATATATACATAGATTTGATGTGAGAAAGGCTATTGTCTTTTGACTTTTAGTCGAATCTTCTAGTTGCAAATTTTTGACTTACGTTATTTAGTAAAAGTATCACAGAATTTATCATAGAATTATATTGCATGGTACTTTCAAGCTGCCTATCATATTTTTATATTTTTGAAATCGTTTTCTTGCTGCAAATTACATATTAAAAAAAATGATTGTACTAATGAATTTTAAATGAATTTTAATGTAAACTTAATTTGTAAGCTTTCTTTATAAAACTTCAAAATTATTATATTTTTTGGTATAAAAACGTAAATCCTACAATAAATTTTATTGATATTCTCAACTTTAATATGTTGAAACATGTTAATTGCTATGTGAATAAATGTTTTATCTTTATATTTGTAGAAAAATTAATCATTATGCACACCAAATAAATTGCCAAAATATTAGTGTTGCAAATACCAATATTGTAGGAACAAAGAATAGAAGAAAAAAAGGAAAAAGTAGAATCTAATAAATTAGATAATACCAACGTTCTATAGATTATTGAGGAATGTATACTGTAAATAAAGGTTAAATTATTTAGAAATGATTATTTAAAATACATAACTATTGTTTCAACATGATAAAATATACATAGAAACACAAAGCTCCATGTTAAGTTTACATTTGTGGTAATTGATCAATAGGTGTTGCAAATCTGAAATCTTCTGGAAATAGTTTTCCTGCATGAGGATACATTAGTTTATAAGACTGTCTGATTGTAACATCAGCTACACCAGCAATATCACCAATTTCTTTTTGTGATCGTTTATCTTCTGATGCCTGAACAATAAGAAAATATATGAGATTGTTAAATATACGAAATGAGTTAAAAAATTCTAATTCTATAGAGTACCTGTGATGCCATATAGATTGCAGCAGCTGCTACTGAAATTGGTGATCTTCCAGGTACAATATCTATTTCAACTGCCTTTCTTGCAATATGTGTAGCAGCTCTTTGTACCATGTTAGGCAATCCAAGATTAGAACAAAACCTTGACATGAAGTCTCCCGTAGTAATAAGATCTACACTAGTTTCAAGTGCTTTTAATATTAATTTAAAACATCTTCCTATTTCCTTTTTACTGATTTTACTGACTGCACAAATTTCTTTAAAAGTACGAGGTACACCTTCTTGTCTGCAGGCAATGTATAAACAGGCTGAAGCAATGGCATCATTTGCACGTCCTTTTAAATTTTTACCATCGTGTACTTGTTTAAATAAGTTATTTGCTCGATCAACAATAGTTTTAGGAAGATTAATACGATCAGCCATTCCATTGATTTCACGAAATGCATTGATCAATGCTCTATCAGAACTACTCATCTAAAGCAACAGAATTCATTAATTGATTAGAAAAAAGGATATTATAAAAAACAAAATATAATAATACTTACTGTACGTCTGTTTTGATATTTTGAAGCACCGAAAGCATCAAATGATGCTGCACCAGTTCCAGGGCCAATCATCGTAGATAAATCTGAACCATTAAGAAGAGGATTTTCTGGTCCACCAACGCGTGATGGATCAACTCCAGCTTTCTCATTACTAAATGTTCTCCATTCTGAACCAACATCTTTTAAAAAAAAAAAAAAAAAAAAAAAAAAAAAAAAAAAACAAAGAAAGAATGTGAAAAAGAAAAAAAAAGAGAGATAGAAAGTAATGAAAAAGAAAATTAATTCGTAAATACATTATTCATAAATCATATGTATATTTACCTATCTCCTACAACTAATCCACATTCTGAACAAATTTGATCGCCAGCTCTATAGTCTTCAATAAGAGGCGCATCTGGATGTGCATAACAACAAACTTTGTTTGTTTCGTGTCTGCAAAAAAGAACTAAGAAAATGTGTACCACAAATTAATGCACAGATGCATATATGCACATATAACTGTCTTTATTACCATTATTTTAGTATTTTGGATAATAACACTTTTCAATAATTCAGTGTTCAAGTAATTCAATTTACAATTTTTTATATGTACAAAGTTTTTTTAGAAATAAAAGTGTTTCAGTTTCATTGTATATACACTTATGTATAATCAATAAAATAATTAAATATTAAATTGCTTATTAAAAAAAATGGACTGCATAAAAGTATAAAATTACTGACATGATGTGTTATATTTCTGGACATAATTTACCAAGGCACGTAGAGAATAAACAAACGATGTTACTGTCAGAACACATAACCATAGCCTATAACACTACGTTTTACTTAAATGAATTCAACATAATCTTAAATGATAATAATCTACAAACCAAAACATTGTAATAAACGTTATCGATGTTAGTTGTAAAGACTAAATTTTCTCAAAATTTACCTTGACGAACTTGCCATATTTTGGATTCGTGTTTTTCCACTCTGCCGCGTAAGTCAATGTAGATACTTGATATGGTGTAATATTCATACATGTGTACTAAGCCATATGCAGAAGAAATAAAGCTTAGTTCCCAATAATTAACTAAAAACATTTTATTAAATTTATTGTATAATCTACTAATAACAAATATTAATAACAAAATGGAAATATTCAAATTATTGTATATAAATAAATAAAAGGTAAATTAACATATGAATAAATTTAAAAAATTAAAAATATTTATAATTATTTATGATGTTAAAAATGATGTTGGTTTAATTTTTTTGATAAGTACTGTCAATTTAATTAATTAAATATTTTTAGTAATCCCATTTATTTTATTGTACAAATAACAAAATGATAGATCTACAGTAATCTACATTAATATATAATCAATGCACTTAAGTTTGAAATAGTTTATTCTGTGATTTAACCTATAATGTCCATATTAGAAAAGAAAGTAATGGTTACAAAATTATTTTGTTAATTCAAGTATTTATAGTATTTAATATAATTTTGCGAAATTTACACAATTGTTGATATCACAATGAATAATGTATTATACATTATGCATCACCTTTGATAATGCTATCAATATGTGTAGACAAAAAAATGTAAATTTTACATATTTATAAATAAAATCAATCCGATTAGAATAACATTTAATAATGATAATACACTATATAAAAAACTAGATCTGGCACAGGAATAATTTTATTATAGTGTGAAAAAATTAAGTTATTTATGAATAATAAACTAGAACTTGTGATATAATATTTGTAATAAAACTGTACAAAATGACATTAGAAGATGCACAAAATGCAGCACAAAAGGCAGTACAGTTTGATAGCAAAAATCAATGCAAACAAGCTTTATATTATTATAATATAGCTGTAAAATATCTTTTGGATTTACAAGACCATGTATATGATCAAAAACTTTTGGAATATCAGGAGAGAATATCAACTATACAGAGTCTCAGTAAGTATTTCAAATTAGTTTATGTTAGTAACAAATAATAATAATAATAGTAAGATAAATAATAACCAATATATATTATAGTTAATGAAGAAGAACAGAAACATCATAAAGCACAATCTACAGATCAATCTAAATTACAAAAATGTAAATTTCTTATGAATCAAGCACAAGATGCGGATGAAGCTGGTTTAAAGGACATTGCTGTGAAATTGTATACAGATGCTGCTGAACTTGGACTTAGTGTGGTATTTAAATTAATTTCTTTATTATCAAAATTTTAAAGTTCAGTTAATCAATAGCATTATTATAATTATAGAAAGCAACCAATATAGAGACAAAAGCTAAATTAACAGCTCTTATAAAATTAGCTTTAGACAGAGCAGAATCTTTAAAAGGTATGAAAACATTAGACAATAGTGATATTCTTGAAACTCTTTCCAAGTTGCCTCCTGTACCAGAGACAAGTTTGGATGAAGATGTAGGTAAAATATTGCCTACAACTACAACAACTTCTGTAAACTCTAGTAATGCAGGTAATTTTCTTTCTAATATTGTATTATTTTTTGTATTATTCTGTTCAATTTAATTTTTTTTTCACTTTCATATTTAGGACAAACTCGGCCACCACTTCATCGTGGAAGTAGTGCACATCTGAAAGTGAGCGGTGGTAGTACTAATTACACAGAAGAAGAAAAAAGAGTTTTGCTTCATAGTTCTCACATCAATGATAATGAATTTGTACCTTTTATGAGCATTGATCTTACAGAAAGGTTTCAGTATGCTATTCCTTTTACTGATATAGATGGATTATTAGCATTAGCACCAAAACAAAAACCTGATTTTGCAAAGTGGAGTAGACCAGAAGAATTATTTTCTGACCCAAAAATGCTTAAAACATCCCATGTTGATTACTACAGTATAAAACAAACAGTTAGTAAAAAATAACGATAATTGCTAAATTAATGATATATATTATATCAGAAATTTAATTATATTTTCAATTTTAGGTTGTTTCTGACTGCTCTTTTGTTGCTTCTCTTGCAGTTAGTGCTCAATATGAAAAAAGATTTGGACGTAGACTTATTACATCTATTATTTATCCAAAAAATAGAAATAAGGAACCAATATATAACCCTTTTGGTAAGATTTTAAGTATTACTGTACAAGTTATGAAATTTCTTTTAAATTGTAAGGATCAGCAATTTGTAATTTTCTTAGAATTTTATTTCAATGAAAATTAAATTGAGAGTATTTTACATTAGGAAAATACATGGTGAAACTACACATTAACGGTGTTCCACGCAAAGTTATAATAGATGACTTATTGCCTGTAAGTCGATACAACCAATTACTTTGTTCCTACTCTAGCAATCGTGGAGAGCTGTGGATCTCGTTACTCGAAAAAGCATATATGAAAGTAATGGGTGGTTATGATTTTCCTGGGTCAAATAGTGTATGTTTATTTCTATATAATGTCCATATAAAAATAATAAATATAAAATATCTTTTTAATAATGAAACATTGTCATTTAGAATATCGATTTACATGCTTTAACTGGCTGGATACCTGAAAGATGGGCTATAAGGCCAGATGAGCCCGATTTTAATAAGGACAATCTATTTAATGTTTTATTAACGCGTTTACATAAAGGAGATGTACTAGTAACAGTTGCTACCGGGGAATTAACTGATTTAGAGGCTGACAGAACGGGTCTCGTACCCACTCACGCCTATGCTGTTCTTGATGTTAGAAAAATAAATGTAAGCATTTTTTGTTTACCTATTTATAACATTTTCTTTTTCTTTTAAAAATAAGACAGACTTATGATCATAAGGATATTTCTATAGGAAGAAAGATTATTGCAGCTTAAAAATCCTTGGTCGCATTTACGTTGGAAAGGAAATTATTCTGAACTTGATGAAATACATTGGACAAATGAATTAAAAGAAGTATTAAATTATGATCCAAATTCTGCATCTCAATTTGATAATGGAATTTTTTGGATTGATTATGATAGTATATGTCGATTTTTTGATGTCTTTTATTTGAACTGGAATCCAGGTTTATTTAATTATACTTATTGTATTCACCAGTAAGTTATTAATAGTTATATAAATAATCTTGTTTAATTAAAGATTATTATAAAAGTGTATGAAAATATTTTATTGTAGAATGTGGAATGCAGGAATAGGACCAGTGAAAGATGTATATAATATTGGTGATAATCCTCAGTTTTTATTAGAAATAAAAAACAATGTTAGTGGAGCAATATGGATTCTTCTTACAAGACATATTACAGACATAGCAGATTTTAGACAAAATCAAGAGTACATAACGGTCTTAGTTTATCGAAATGATGGAAAAAGAGTATATTATCCTTGTAAGTGATTTATTTATCTTTCTGTTATGTATGTTTCAAATTTAACTATAAACGATCAATTTTATAGATGATCCACCACCATATATTGATGGTGTGAGAATAAACAGCCCTCACTATCTTTGTAAAATAAAGTTAGATGCTCAAAGTGATACTCGATATACGTTAGTTATTTCGCAATATGAAAAAACCAATACTATATATTATACCTTACGTGTCTATGGATCTTGTGAATTTTTATTAAGGAAGATACCAAGTTTTTATAAATATGAGAAAGAGGTATGTATTTATTTTTTTTATTTTTTATATAAACTCAACAAATTTTATATTTAGTACTATAATATATAATTTTTTCAGCTCACTGGTCAGTGGAAAAATATAACTGCTGGGGGATGTAGCAATCATACAACATACCAAAATAATCCACATTACCAATTGATCTTAGAAAGTTCAAATAACAGTAATTATTTGCTGATTATATTAAAGGGACCTAAACAATATCAAATAGGATTTGATATTCTATCAGTTGTATTAAATGATTCTGATGCATCTAATGCATTTAAAATGAAAAGTTCTGGTCCATTCAGGTATTATATACATAATGTATTCAATACAATTATATGGAATATTTACTAATAATTTAATTTACTATAGATTAGGGTTTGTTTATCTTGAATTAGAAGAGGTACCAGCAGGTACATATCACATTATTCCATCTACATATTATCCTGGACAGGAAGGTCATTTCTTTTTAATTTGTAAATCGTTTTGCAAATTGCAACTTCAATTACTTCAATAATAGAATTAATATGTATATGAGTTTTATATAAAGACAATTTGTACAATAATATGTACACAATTAAACACAATATGTAACTATTATTTCGTGTGCATTAAATGTGATATATGATAAGAAATTATAAGATATTTATATTTGCTAATATAAAATTGTTAATGAATACTGTTATGATTGTCATATATTGTACAAAGATCATTAACGCTAAAATTGATGTTATAAGTAATAAAATTCTTTTAATAAATACAAATTAAAAAAAGAAATCGAATCAAGGAAAGTCACTATGTGATAAATTGTTACAAAATTCTTTTATTTTATATTTTAAAAGTACAAATTAATAATTAGACTAGACAACTACTGACTGAATTATGAAAATTTGTGGCACTTTATTTATAATTAGTATTTGTTTGATGTGTTATCATTTGGCATGTACGCAGATAAGTTCCACCGAATGTAATTTCTAAATATTTTAATTAGCTATTTAATATTCTTTGTACTATTCTTATATAAATAATCCTTTTTTGTTCAAGAAGTTACATAAATACTAAACAGCATTTGTGTAAAATATTCCCTAAAAATGCAATTATAAATACAATAATTATTTTTATAAAAAATGTGTTACTTATGCTAATAGCTCACCTACAAATGAAAAATAAAGGTTTATCAATTTTTTTATATTTATAGATAGTACTGTATTTATATGTAATTAGTACAAACTAATTCTAAAATATTACTTCCGAATTTTTTCAAAATATTCTTTTTTTTCCGTTTCATTGTTCGCATTTTTGTATTTTTTCAAATATATACAATATAATATAAGGGCATTGTAATTTAGTAACAACAATGCTGTTTAATCAATTTACATTTAACATTTATTTTTTGACTTTCATATCAATTTAGATTGAAATTAAAGCAACATAGTTTTCTAGCATTTATCTGAACAGCTTATAAATGATTGTAATTAACTGCAATATTATCTTATTAAAATAATCATAATTACAAATAAATAATTAGCAATTTATGTGAAATTATGATTTATGAAACAGGAATTGAAGAAGATATAAATGTATTTACATAATTATGACAGATAAATTATAAAAAAAAGTTATGAACAATTATATATGAAAATATATTAGCTACAAAGAAACATAATATTATTAATTTAAAATGGAATTAAAAAAAAAATTACATTGAGTGAAATTGTTAAAAAATAACAGTCATTAAGAGTATCCATTCTAGTTTTATAACTATAATTTTGATGCACACATACAAGGCACTATTGTCAATAGTTTACTCATTATTATTTGTAACACAAAACATATTAAAATGATAGTGTTCTTTTAATGCTGTGCTTGCTGTTATGATATGCCTAACAGATTCACCCTATCCTTAATCATTTATTATCAGAAATATTTAACAATAAAGTAATAATCTTTTGCAGTCCAGTCTTGTTTATAAAACAATGATAAGTTTTATACTAATTTTTCTATATTTTTAGCCTCATTTAATTAAATTATTGTATAAACTAGAAGAATGAGAACATACAATTTAATTATAATTACTAACCAATCCTAATCACAGGTGATTTATCGATGTTTAGAAGAAATTTACATTAAACAAATAAAAATAATACAATAATTGATTACAATGTACATGTTATAGTATTCTGTTTTCAACACAATGTTTATATGCATAAATAATTAATGCTTTGCATTATTATATTCCTTCTATTTTGTATTTGTACAAAAACTTTATACCAAATATATTGAAAGAATGCAAATATTATTTAATTTTTATACCTTTGCTTTTTTCATGTTTTATAATTGCACATGCAATTATATTATTAACTTATAGATTGTTATGTGGTTTTCTTTAGGTCATCTAAAGATCATATTTTTGTGCGCAAAAAATAATTGCATTAATGTACTTCATATATATAAAACATAAAAGTATTTTCATATTATAAAAATGGGCGGAACGTAGAACGATTATAAAAAAATAGTGCATTTTATTAATATTATTAGAAAATTTAAAGAATATCGAAAATTTTGAATGAGATTGTTTTTGGGACGAAATATTCTTTAATGTATTACATATTATTTTATTTTATTTACTTTTTATTTTATGTCAAATTATGTTAAATTACTTGCTAAAGCGAGAACATTAAACTTTTCGTAGTTCTCAATTAATATTAATTTTGTTTTAAAATAATTTTAACATTAAAATACTATTTCATTCTTTTTATGATGCAAATTTGAATTTGCTATTTTCTTAGAAACAGAGCATAAACTTTGATATTTCAAGTACTATTCTTTTAAATAAAGACTATGCTGTACATCGTATAAACGGTACCAGAAGTTATTACAATTGATATGAGAAAAATATTACGTTTAATTAAAGATTAAAATAGGAATGATTTAAAATTTTATTTTATACGATGTGAGTATGTTATTGCCCCTTTATATAATGAAGTATGTTAGAATACTTCTTTAAAAAACACTTTATGGAAAAACGATTATTCTTGATTATTTTATAAGTGAGCAGAGTGTACAGATAATTTTTTTATTTAAAAATTATTCAAAATAATTATGAATCGTTTCACAGATTTATTTTGTCATCACATTCTGTAGCTTACTTAGATTGACTATAGATTCGATTCTTTCCAGTTTTGTGATACTTTATATATTTTATAATATTTCGTGGTTCTTTTTCAAGGCAATATTTTTATATTGGCACCCCGTGTATTTCTAACTTTCTGCTAACATACTGATAACATTTATAAACTTTAAGGTGTTATGTTAATTTTTGTATAAAGATTATACTTCTACTATTACTTTGTTGCGAGCAGCAATTAAAAAAATTAAATCTTATAAGCAAAATACTAATTGTATCTAATGGAAGATATTGATTTTCATCATTTTTAAAAGTATATTAGCAGCATTGCCTGAAATTTAACTTTCCATACTTTTATCTTTATTTGATGTATAGAAATAAAAATTGATAGTAGCAATAATAATAATAAAAATAAGCCATAATAGATAATTATTTCGAGTAATACTTTGAGATTTATACTTTAGCTTAAACATTAATACATAAATTAAAAACGGATAAGCTCTAAGGCATGAAAAGTTATATCTTTCAGTTAATTAAATTTCTAGATAAAAAATATATTTGCAAATGGATAGAAAATACCTATTTGAAATAGTGTATATCTTTCCTATTAATGAATAACATATGTGTATATTATTGTCAGAGTATAAAATTATGTTCTAATGATGTGATGTGATATTTCGGTAAAATGTAAGAATGGTAATTACAATGCTTTACAAGCTTGTATTATTTTCACCTGCTGAATTCAGGAAGTGGTTTGGCTATTCCTTCGTTATAAGCTTTATGGACTGCCTCACAAACGAATCTATATTGACTCTAAAAAATTTTTTTTTTTCATTAGATATAAAAGTTACTATTTTTCTATAAATCTTAATTTAATACTGGTTGTTAATGTTAACTTACAGCATTTTGTATCATCATTGCTCTTTGATCTCTCATAGATCGCACGATATCTAACGGATACACTGGTTGATTCGCTTCGATGAGACACAGTGCTGTTTCCATTAAGACTAAAACACCAGTTCTACCTATTCCAGCGGAACAATGAACTACTGCAGGTTCCACTATTCCCGTTCGAGCTGCCCGTACTCTTTGAGTAAATGTTGTGAATTGTCGCCAATCACTAGGAACTCCGTGATCTGGCCAACTACAATATTGCATGTGCGTTATGTCTCTTTCTTCTCCAGTCTGAAATACAAATAATTAATTTATATTTAGGATAATCATAGTATACTTATAATAATTGTTCAAAATATATAAACATTGTCTTTTCTTACATTAATATCACGAAGTATGAATTCTCGAAATATAAAAGTGTCTTCAACATTCTCAGCCGTAGACGTGAGAGTAAGATTTCGCAATGTAAGAGTTTCATTAAGTGCTGGCCAGTATTGATGACATTTTGCTCGGCCACGTTCAACTAAAGTTGTAAGCATTACGACAAGGGTACTGCCTGCTTCGAGAACCATCTGCCAGAAATCAGCGACAGTCGAGGACAAAGGTCCTTGAGTAGCAATGTATCTATTAATAATACCTGATCCTGGTATTTCCATGTTCACGTAATTAGCATTTATATAATCTCCACTTGCAGAGCCCATAAGTATCACTCGAGTGACATCATCTACAAATTGCATGAGGCTTTAATTTTTGAAGCTTGTTTTAAGATATTGTTTATATTAAATATGTATTAATGCATTTTCCTTTATACTTACATGGTGAAATATCTCGATAACGATTTTTGCTCTGATTTTCAGGCTTTTTAGATTCAAGAGATGTTAGTTCAGGATTTTTTCTATACAACTGTTCATACTGAGCAATTAAAGCACCGCTCGCAAGTCCATCGGCAAGAAGCAACATTGATTGTGCTAATGCATCTGATCCAATAGCTGCATGAGGCGCATCCGGAACATACCTTATTATTTCAAAATAAGAAAGAATATTAAATTGTGCCTTCTAAATAGTTGTTAATTAATAACTATTTGTAATACTAATTATACAATAAGTACTATTTCTAATATTTAAAACCAAGTGTAATACCTATATGGAGGTTCTTCTTCAGATGTTTCATCAGTACCAGCTAGTGCATTGTACAAAGCATTCGGTCTAACAGTTAATGTCAATTCACCAGAACCCGAATCACGAGACTGACGAATTAGATTTACTACATGTTCATGTAATAAACCATTGACATCGATTCCATTTATATACACTACCTATTTGTTCCAAATATTTATGATAAATCATATTCAAAACTTAACTAAAATAATTTAGTACAAAATAATATCATCACATATAACTAACCTGATCTCCTTCATTTAATTTTGGATAACAACGATCAGCCGGAGTGTTCGGAGCTACCCTAGATACCAAAATAGGCATATCAAGATCCAAAC